CCCCACCACTCCATTGCCCCCACCCACGAGTTATTCCGTTCCAACCACCACTGGTATCCTCCAAACCACGACCGATGATATCCTCCTAACCACGACTCCTATCGTCCCAACCACGACTGATTTCGTTTCAACCACGGCTGGTATCCTCCTAACCACGACCGATGATATCCTCCTGACCACGACTGCTATCGTCCCAACCACGACTCCTATCGTCCCAACCACGACTGATACTGTCCCAACCACGGCTGGTATCCTCCTAACCACGATCGATGATATCCTCCTAACCACGACTCCTATCGTCCCAACCACGACTAGATTGGTCCCAACCACGGCTAGTTTGGTCCCAACCACGACCGATATCGACCCAACCACGACTAGATTGGTCCCAACCACGACTGAATTGATCCCAACTACAACTACAAGTAACACTGGAATAACCTCCTATTCATCAACTACTTCTCGCTTGAACACGAATTCGACAACTAGTAAAACAACAGGTATGTCATTGCCACCGCAAAAATAACTGTTTCCTGTAGCGAATTTCATTTCATTTTCCATGCATGGCTAAAGCATTTCTAGATCTTAGTAAATACTTGGTACATCTTCAATAAAAATATCGGCTCGTAGTTATGTATCATTATGCCATAAAAGTATCGTTGGGCTCCATTTTTCGACTAAAAGCAGCAGTATCGATCCGAACCCTAAGCTGACAATTTAAGATCTTTCAAAAGACAGTTTCTTGATCAGATTTTGATGTGTTATTGAACGGAATAGTTCTTCATATTTGCAAGACAAGTCATTATATTGACTTTTATTTCATGTCATTGCGCATATTCGTATGAAGTCAAAGTTGTGACTATGAATGCATGTTACAGTGACAGATAGAAACTTCCTCTCGCATAGATCTAGTATTTGTGGTTGGTGTATAATAGCGTTTTGAACCCAGAAAAAGTCCAAAAAAGTGCTGTCAACACTTTTTCTGCATAAAATATCGAAAAAGATAGATATTTTAGGACAGACCTGAACATCGTGCAACATTTATTCGATTTTGCTCCAGATATTCTCTCATATTGTATTTGTTGTGTTTACTCTAGAACGTACTTCACCGGCTGGTTCTGGTTCACCACGAAGTAAGTTTACGTAACTTCTTTGAAAAAAAAATGAAACGCTTTAATATCAAACAAAATTTAGCGCTGAAAAAATATTGCCAAATTAGGAACTTTGAGTTCCGTAAAGGAAGAAAAAAATAGACCAATTACACATACTTTTAAAGTTCAAAGATTCACTTCACCTCTTCAAACAATAAAAAGTATCCTCAAGTTTTGGAATAAAATCATCTGTATTTTCAACTCTCGATCTATTATTTCAACTTTTCAGCTTTTCGGAAATATTTTATTGTATTTTGAACTAAGGGACGCTGTAAATGAGCGAGGAGCTTGGGATGTTGATAGTAGACGGGAAAGGTGCAATCTATACACCTGAATTTCTCCTCTGTCGGGCCAAAAATCGCTTTACCAAAGGATGAAGAAAGCTATCACTAACCTATAATTCCTATACTTCGAATAGTTCTTATAGTTTCTATAATCTTTTTCCTTTATGGAACTGGAAGGGAGGGGTGCAATAAGAACGAGGCTCGGCTCCATTTCAGATTTTCTCGAAAGGTATCATGAATGAAAGAGCATACAATTTTATGGGATTCTACACCCTTGGTTCCGCTTCGAACCTCATATCTGTCAGAAAATCGATCAACTTTGAACAATAACTCCGTGAGCCCATTCCGAGGCGTTTTCGTAATTTTCTCAGAACACAACAAGTTTGAAGGAAACTCCTGTATACCATTCGATATAGCTTTAAACTGTGAACAAAACTGTCTATTGCTCAATTGTTATGTACACCGCCAACACCCACGTTTTCGCCATATTACTGTTAAAAATGACCCTTTCATAGCCAACGATAATATTTCAACTTTCGCACCATGAAAGAATCTAGGTTGCGGTTTACATTATATATCGAAAGAAAAAGTTGCAGTAAGAGACACTTATTTTTCATTCGTTTTAGATAAACAAGCTGGATCCAGATGGATTATCTTCAGTTTTCTGATATTGCTATGTGGTATAGCTGATGCAACGCATTGATACAAAAGCTACGTATAATGGCAACAGTTCGTGGATGTAATTTTGCTATCTGCCTGAGTATTTAAAATAAATAACTGTTTTAAATAAACAGTTTTTAATTAAATTTATATGAAATCTTTTTGTTAATGCAGTTTGTATCTTTAAAACATTCTCCCTGATACATAAGCGGTCAGCAGTCATAGTCACAAAGCACTGATGAATATTCATCCGGTAATAAATCACCTGTACTGGCAATATTGATAACAGAAAGAAAAGAAAATTGAAAAAGTCAACGAATATAATGTGTCGCACAAGCACAAACATATATTTAGATAATTAGATCTTTCTTCGTCTTGGGGAGGAGGAGACACGGGAAGCTGAGGAGTGGTTACGTAGTATTACGCATGGAACAGCATCTGTAACCGTTGCTCCTAAACATTTTATTTAAGGCTTTAAAACGATATAAAGAACGAGCACATAACATCTACTACTATATAATAAATAGATCTACTACTATCTATTTACTATTGTCAAAGAAACATCTGATTTTGTTTGTACCCGTTTCGGTCAACTTCCATTTCGGCGTATTCTTGAATATATTGCTAAAGATGCATTTTCGCTTCAACATCTTCTTAATACTTCTTATTTGCAATCGCTTTGAGAGCTGCTTCTTCTGAATCAGCCTCTCCTACTTTTTTTCAACTCGTTCGCATTTTGAATTCTCTCGTCAAGTTTCTTCTCATATAAACCGTCCTTTGCATGGTCAAGTCATGTCCTTAATCAACTTCCTAGACCAAGATGTAAATATCACAAATTTGACTTTTATACAACTATCATTTAGACTATCGTTTTAGCTTTTACGAAAAGCTCTATGGCTTTTTAACGAAGTAAGTCTGAATGAAAAAAATTTGGAAAGTTTCCTAATTATATTAGTGCTAACGATTATGAAAGTTTGAGCGAAAAACCCAAACATCGATTGAGCAACTTACGTCGTTTCACTCGTGCAGTAACTCTTAACACCTAAACAAGTATGTACAAAGGCGTCTCATTTTTGTGAAATGGTGAATGATTGCACAGTTGAAAAGAACATACAAATATTTTCGTCAAATTCAATTACAGCTTTTTCTCGCTGGATGTAAGTGATGCGATTTTATAACATTCACGTTTAATGCCTTATCTATTGAACGAATATTTACAGACGAAGAATGGGCAAAATTTTCAGTTCCACGTCTATAAAAGCTTTATGAAACGCAGGCCATAGCATCCTTGTATTACAATCCTGCTGAAGGACATCCGAAGAATCTGAAATAAGCGATAATCCAATTGGCGACGAGTAATGTGGTTTTCGCTGTGAGTTTTTTTATTTTTCATTGTTGTTTGAAAAAAAGTTTATCAAAAAAAAACCACACAAAAACTATTTGATTTATATGAGTGAATAAATGGTGCGATACAGCGTGTTCAACTATCTTAAATCTATGCAATCGGGCGATTGCATGTTTAATATAAATCCGGGCAGATGTAATTTTCATATTATGAACTATCGTATTAGATTGATATTGACCAGACTGACTAAGAAATTCTGGCATTAGGATATTCCAGTTTTTTTTGTTGAACTAATTCACTTATTCAAAAACATTTATCGGCTAAAATAGTAGAATATTTGGATACGGTGATATATCTATACCAGATCTTAATGTTAATTCTTTGTCTGATATTGAACCAATAAAATAATTAGGATATAAACCTAACAGGAAGATCACGCGTTGGAGCAATACCTACGATTCCTTTAAGGACATTCCTAGCGTAATAAGGATTATACGTTTGACGTCGTAAATTCAAGTTACCTGGTTTTTGTATATAAATAGGATAGGCATCGATAATCATAACCGGATTTCTAATATCGGTAAACGACGCATGAAATTTTTCTTTATCGTTTCTTTATCGACATACATGATAATTTTTGAAAACTTCCAATACATATAGTTTATCATTTATCAAAATAACGCAATTGCGTATTTTCACTCACACTAAATGTTTTGTTAGATCAAGGAATGGAACATCAAGTTTTAGTTTCTTCATCACCAAAAGAAATTGCTTTGATTCATTTAATTTGCGTGCTCGTAATGTATTATCTCGAAAAATATTTTCACCGTCAGTGATGCCATTCATAGGTTCCATTACTGCTGCAGCCACCAAACCATACGGAGTGAATCCTGTATATAGTGTTATTGCTTCATCGTCAGACTTGTAAGCTTCCAATGAAGGTGGTTCAAGTTGTAAACGTAAAGGCAAAATCTCCATTTGTAAATCTTTAATAATATTATCACGATTGTCTTTAGTGGAAATAGACATATGACTAGAATCCCGCGGGAGCGAACGTGCTATCTCTAACTTTGCCTTGTTCGCCGTGATACAGAAAAAGAGGAGAAAAGTATTGAACTTTCTTTGTATGGATATAACAGATGAATTATTTTAACTTAATATAAACCAATCCCGACCTGAAAATGTTTGATTTTGGTCGAGTTATAAGTAGAGAGACTCACAACTAATCATCTTAAATAGATGGCTTCTCCGGAGGAAATATAATTGAAAAAAGAGGCTAAAAACGTAAAAAGGAAGTTAAAGACTTCGACTGATGAAATAAGGTTGGCAGTTCAGAACGTCACCTGATGAATTTCCGTTGACAGCTGAGAACGAAAACCACCACGTCTAAACTCCTGCTTGAGGCTATCTTCCTGTTTTTGTTTCGTAGAATATGAAGGACTAAAATTTTTTTTTCTAAACTTTTCCTGTGTCACAGCGAAAAAGACAAAAATTTCCTTTTTTTTGTTAAAGGACCCTGTCGGATTTGGTGACCACACCTGAATCGAGAATTCACGTCCAATAAAATGCTGAGATTTTCACCAAAAAATGAAAATCAACGAAAACTTTTGAGACATATATCGTTCGACTCAACTTTCGACTGACTCCGAATACGATATTTTAATTGCATAAAAAGTGAGTTCTGGTTGAAAAAATAAAGAATTTCTGGCAGACTGTCGATGTTTTCGCTTCTGATTCAGAAAAACTGTACTTTCTTAGTAATAAAGCAAAATAAAAGAAAAAGCGATTCGTACTTTTAAAGGTCGTCTAGTGGCGCTTCTAATGAAATAAAAAGGTCGGCTACACAAGAAACTGGATAGGTTTGCAAAATTTCAAAATTTCAAGAGAAGAGAGCCATTACTAGAATTTGACATACGACGAGTACAGGAAGGTTGATTACACACTGGAATCTTTGAATATAACCCATGTGGTGCAGCTTTGCCTGCTGATCACGAATACGGTCTTAGATTTGAAGAAGTAGGAATTGAAGTATGACTGGATCAAAAACATGAATTTTTACGAAATTAAAAGAGGAAAATGGGTCTAAAAATTGATCACTAGTTTTCAATGCAAGGCAATTTTGGGTACCACGCCTCCCCGTTCAAGAACTTCCAAATAGTGCGTTTTGTAGCTGTATCTCCTGCGCAACTAATGACAAGATTTGGCGCATGGTCACATCTTTTGTGATTGACACACCTCAATACATTGAGACCCATCGTCATCGACTGTTCGTAAAAGATGATGCCAAAGCGATGAAAAATCGCGTTTGTCTCTGTTAAGATGAGACGTTTGGAGATGTTAACTATATGAGCTTGTAACCCAACTGCACATAAGAAATATTTTTCACAGACTTCTTCGACTGACACTGGGGTAACAGTGATCAACCATTGATCATGATTTGTACTGATAGCACTCCACCAGTAAATTGACTCTTTCGTCCAAAACTTAATGAAAACATGGTTTCCTATATACCACTCGACGCGCTTCAAGCTGCTCTTCAAGATGGCATATTTCTTTTCTCGATTAGCAAGGTATCCACAAATTATTTAACTCTCAAACAGTTTTTAAGTAAAACGCATTTAACAGAGCCAAACTTATTTTGTGATTTTCCTAAGACTGTTTTTCAGCGTCAGAGCTTTCGCCACGCACAGGAATTTTTGGTAACGATACATCGGCGAAACAAATTTTTTTTTTGATTTGCAAATGACACCCATAGCTAGGAGTTGATAGAGTCCGATTTAAATTATGCCTCTATTTTATAGAAAAATGAGGATTTCTAAGAAACTTTCTAAGGATTTGTCGGACTTCGAAGTTCTGTTAAACACCAGAAGTCAGCAAATGCGAAATTCAAAAATCGGTCTCTGTCAACTCCTAGGCACGGATGTTTACTGCAAAACAAAAACAGCCCAAGCTGTCTGTCATTTATCTGGAATAAGAATTCTTGTGCGTGGTAGACATGAGTGATATCTTCATTTTTTCTGAGAAAGAGTGATATGAGTCAAGATCTCTTGTCTGTCAAAAAAATGTTTAAGAACTTTAACTTCTTTTTTATGTTTTTTGCCTCTTTTCTTCAATTATATTTTCTCCTGAAAAGCTATTTTAGTAGTGAGCCTCTCTACTTATACTAAACTCTAATATAACGATATCGAACGACATAATATGTTATGTTGACAGTTCAGAACGTCAAATGATGAGGTGTAGTTTAGAGTGTAGAACTTCTATCGCGATGAGATGCCGTTAACAGTTCAAAACGTCAACGGCAAAACCGTTGCCGTTCCAGTTGAAATTTTTGCCAGATCAACGTGAACGGCTGCAGCCCTAGTCTTGAGTCCTGTCTTTTCCGTTCTACTAGAAGCCTGTGCTTTGATGTGGCTTTATAATGTTTAAGAAATGTGTAACAGCTTTATTTAACCTCTCAATATTTCTTTTCGCGAATCCATTCATCGTTTTCTTTTCACTGCTCGAATGTATATAAGAGGATGGTATAGTTTGGTGAACATATTGTGCTTCCCATACTTTAAAGGTGGTGTATTGAAACCTATGCATTAAACCTTAAGATAAGTTATTTAGCCATAAATAAGTTACTTTGTTTAAGCTTTATTTTTAAAAGAAGAAAAACAAAAGAACTTCCATCGAGCAAATATAGAACAGTAAAAAGAAAGAGGAATAGACCTATGACATCATTTTGACTGTTTAACAAGCGAAGATTGCTAGTATAAATACTACGTAAGAAAGAAACGCATTTAGTCACAGAGAATATCATTAAAGAACATTCATATTAAACGGAAAGCTAAATCACTCAGCACACACACGCTGGCTACTTATGTCTTAGTGTCTCGGATCACTCGTGTGGCATAATAAAAAGTTTCTTAGAAGAATCCGTTCAGAAGGTGCTGTAATCGATCTGAATATTTTAACAAAAGAACGTCATCCGACAAAAAATTTCATAAAAATTAGTATTAATACGAGAACTGAAACACTCTTCGTGCGAAGAGCAGAGTTAATTTTTATTCTGTAAATCCGATACGGCTTTTCAACTTGATTAACACCATTGTTGAAACCCGGAAGGCGATTGTTTTGTGACACTGGAATGTATAAAAATCCGTCTGCACTTACATCTGAGGCATCACCCCAAATGATGCGGTCGTCGCGTACAATCAAACTCAAAGAGCCATCCGGTTTTTGTCGCCACACAGCGCGGCGCTCCAGATCCATCAGATATATGTTCCCCTCATTGTCCATTGTCGTGCCGCCTGTCGGCATTGTTTCGCTCCCTTTTATGACACGATCGCCAAGTTGTGTTTCGGTCAGACTTTCATTCGTCAAATCTGCGACTGATATTCTCCACCAATTGTAACTGAACGATGGTTTATACAACAACGTTTTCTCATCAGGTGTGAGTTCCAGATTATTATTCGGCATCTTTTTCGGCTCGCCGTTTTCGTCTAAAACCTTGCGTCCTTCGACTCGGACAACGGTCGGCGCATCGAACTTTGTAGACGGATGTTTGTCCAAAACTCGGCGTACTCTGCCACTCTGCAAATTAATTATAACGATTGAACCGATTCCTGATTCGGTTAAAAAAGCGTACTGTGAGGCAATACGCACATCATTTAAAGCAAAGCCTTCTGGAGGATTGAGACTCGAAACCGAATAAATGCGTTCGACCATATTATTTTGAAGATTGATTTTTATGAGTTTCGCGGAGTTTCGAATTGTTCTATTACCGATCATTCCGGCATCAACAACCCACAAATTGTCGTTTACGTCGGTCAGAATTGCGTTAACGTTAACGAAACGGTTCTCAACATTTTCCGTCGAATTTATCGGATTAAAAGTATTCCAGTCTCCCCCAGGTAAAGCTTTTATAACGTTCGTTGGCAGAATTTCAGCGACAGAAATCGTCGCGTCACCAGCCGATCGCGGAAATCCTGCGAACATTCTTCCATTCTTCGTTAAAGCCACACCGTTCCATTGATATTCCGGCGATGTAGCTACTTCGACTAGTTGATTTTGAGCATTGACGTGTATAAAAATTAATAACCCGATTGCCGTTCGAAGTAATAAATTCTCCAGCATCTTTTTGAGTTATGAATCTGAAACGGTTGTTTTGACGCGATATTGACATTTGCCACACTACACAAGTAAATTCTACCCGAAGAGTTTCAGAAAATCTGACGCTAGACACATACTGAAACCTTTTCTCCTTTCGTATCATAGTTAGAACTTGTACGAGTTCAAGTCAGGGTACAGCACAGTGGGTATTTTTCCATAGAGCAGGCGGACATCTGGTTTTATGAGTTAAAAAATGATTATTTTCGCATAATATTGTCTTATTATGTGTCAAATTTTAATAGAAGTAAGACAAATCAAATT